CATATGAGGTCTGGCAATTAAATTTGCGAACTCATCCTAGAAAAAGCGCTACATACCTCATTGCTGAATATCACTGCAATCACCTTCAAAGTACTTCTTTTAGGAAGCCATGCACCAACACCAGCAGCTAGGCCACCCTTCACAGCAATTTTGGAGCTCTGTTTCTGGAATGACCACCAGAGCTGCCGTAGTACGGAGTTTAGACAACTGAGTTTGTGAACTTGCCACCATGCATTTATGTTGTTGGCAGCACTGTACAAACTCAGTAAGATTTCAAAACCGTATTTTATCTCACAGGTATGTTGATGTCACTATGTGGCAGTGTCCTGCTGAGTGGCATTTATTATTGTTTTTGTGGGTGGCATATGACAGCTTTGATGATCATTCCAGAAAGTGTTCCAAACTTGCTCTGAAGGGTGGACTAGATCTGGCATCAGTGCAGATTCCCAAGGGGAGTACTTTGAAGGTGACTATAGTGGTATTTAGCAGTGAGGCATACGGCACTACCTCTGATTTCCTGAATTTAATTGTCAGACTTCATAACTCACTACAACCTCAAACTCCAGGCCTCAAATGACCCTCCTGCCTCAGTCTCCTAAGTAACTGGGATTACAGGGGTGTGCCTCTATCCCTTGGCTTATTTTTCTACTTTTTGTAGAGACAGGGGTCTCACTCTTGCTCAGGCTGGTCTTGAACTCTTGATCTCAAGCAACACCCCCCCACCACCACCTCAGTCTTCCAGAGTGCTAGGACTACAGGCATGAATCACCATGCATGGCCAAACAATCTTAAGGACACGAGGAACACTTAAAACAATGGCCCTACCTGGATATAAAACAAGTCGCAAAATTTTTCTAATAGGCAATGAAAGTTTTCATTGATACTGGTACAGGGCTGCTGTAACAAAGATCGCAAACTCAGTGACTTAAAACAACAGAAACACTCTCATAGTTCACTGGAGGCTAAAAGTCCAAAATCAGTGTCCCCATGCTTTCACAAACCTGTGGCGTTTCATCCTCCACGATTCCTAGGAGAGGACATGTTCCTCACCTCTTCCGGTTTCTTGTGGCTGCTGGCATTCCTTGGATTGTGGCTGCAACACTCCAACCTCTGCTTCCATGTCACATTGCCTTCTCCTGTCTATAATCTGCCTCTCTTATTAAAGACACTTGTGATTTAGGACCCATCTCGATAATCCACGGAAATGTCCCCAATCTCAAGACCCTTAACTTAATCACATCCGCCTAGACACTTTTTCCATGTAAGGTAACATTTAAGGGTTCAGAGATTAAGACCTGATGTCTTTGGGGGGATTATCCAGCCTACTGCAACATTTATCTATATATGTATACATAAAAACATATACATACATACATATATATATTTATAGTTTGTGGCAAGAGGGTTGTAAGTAATTTAAATGTGTTAACTTAATGTCCACACCAGTCTATGAGATAGATGCTATTATCAGTTTCATTTTTCAGATGGCAAAGCTGAGACATAGAAAAGTTATAATTTACCTAAGATATATCATCCATGATCTCTGACTGCAATACAATTAGAACCAATAACAAAAGGTTTTTTTTACCTTTTTATTTTGAAGGAATTTCAGATTTAACATTAAATGTGCAAAATAGTACAAAGAATTCACACATACCTTCCACCTAGATTCTCCAGATGTTGATGTTTTATCACATATGCTCTTCCATTTCCTATCTAATTTTTTCTGAACCTTTTGAGATTCAATTGTTGCTATAGTTTGTATGTCTATCCCTCAAACCTCATGTTGGAATTTGATCCCCAAGGTTGGACGTAAGGCTTAATGGGAGGAGTTTGGGTCATGGGACATTTCACTCATGAATGGCTTGGTGCTCTCCTGGAGATAATAAATTAGTTCCTGCTCTATTAGTTTCTGCTAGAGCTCGTTGTTAAAAACAGCCTGGCAGCACTGCTCCCTCCCTCCACTTCCTCTTTTTACATGTGATCTCTGCACATGCTGGCTCCCCTCTGCCCACTGCCATCAGTGGAATCAGCCTGAGGACTTCACCAAAAGCTGGGATGCTGGCACCATCCTTCTTGTACAGCCAGCAGAACTGTCAGCCAAGTGAACCTCTTTCCTTTATAACTTGCCCAGCCTTAAGTATTCCTTTATAGCAACATGAAGAGAGTTAAGATACTTGCATAGACAATGTTCCATTATCCCTAAGTATTCCAGTATGTATTTCCAAAAAAGGGGATTTTATTCCTTAAATAATCAAAATACAACTATCAAAATCAAGAAATCCCATTGATACAATGCTATTTACAGATCTTATTCAAATTTTACCAATTATCTAAAAAATGTCCTATAGAGCAAAAGTTAAAAATAAATTCTTTTTTCTTGGATGGACACAGTGGCTCATGCCTATAATCTCAGCACTTTGGGAGACTAAGTATTTGAGAGGGCTGCTTGGGGTCAGGAGTTCAGAACAAGCCTGAGCAACACAGTTAAGATTCTGTCTCTATAAAAAAAATGGACATTATTAGCCAGGTAAGGTAGCATGTGCTTGTTTTCCGAGCTACTCAGGAGGCTGAGACAGGACGATCACTTGAGCCTAGGAGCTCAGAGCTGCAGTGAGCCATGATCTTACTACCATCCTGGAGAACAGAATGAGATAACCCCTCCCTTACCCCCAGCCCCCATGTTTTGTTGACCTGAATCCAATCCAGAATCATGTGTTGCCTTTAGTTTTCATTTCTCTTTAGCCTCTTTTAACTCGAAACTTTTGATTGGCTGGTAATTTTGTAGAATATTCTTCAGTTTAGGTTTTTGTGATATTTCTATTTCTTCTTGACTATGTCCAGGTTATGCAGAAATATCATATAAAGTGATGCTGGGTCTTCAGTGCATATCAGGATACACAAAATATAAAACTTTTTTTTTTTTTTTTTTTTTTGAGACAAAGCCTTCCTCTGTTGCAACCTCAAACTCCTGGGTCCCAGTGATACCTCCATCCCAGCCTCCCAAGTTGCTGGGACTAGAAGTGAGTCACTGTATGCCCAGATAATTTTTTCTACTTCTTACAGAGACAGGGTCTTATTTTTTCTCAGAAGGGTCTTAAACTCCTAGCCCCAATTGATCCTCCTACCTTGGGTTCACAGAGTGCTAGGATTATAGGTGTGAGCCACTGCTCCCTGCCTGGGTTCAAATCTTAGATAGTACACATCATCAGAACATAAAATCAAGTCAACATAAAGTCTAAACATCATGCTTCACTACTATGAAGGTTTAGTATAATTTTTCATGCTCCTAGAAAAAGGACATTTTCATGTCATTGTCATGATTGCTGCATGTCAAATACAAGAGGGTACTTGCCAAGTTGAAGCACTCAAAGCCATAGCTCTGGAGTTCTAAAATGCTAAGGGATTTTCCAGGCAGAGTACGAGTATTTTCTAATGGGGTAAGAGAAAATGTATCTTTGTAAACCCATCCTTCTACCACTTTTCCCCCAAAACAATCGATAGCTAACATCTGAAAACAGATGAAAAACTGGCACAGGTCATTGTGGTGTCACTATTTCTAAAATAAAATGAGAGAAGAAAAAAGGACAATGTGTTTTTCAAAAAGCTAACTTTATTCAATTGAAATGACAATGCTTTATTGAGAGATTATGTTCTCCCTACTTTTGTGGTGCTGAAATCTATTTTCTCTTACATAATAATGCTAATAGCAGATGGTAGTCTGTTTTTTATCCTGTTTTTGTTTTATGTCCTTAGCTGGCAAAATTAAAAGCCAAGAACGCTTAAATGCCTAATTAAAAAAAAAATTTTGTATAAATTTACTAGTTCTTGAAACTCAGAGCCTAGGAACTATCCACTAGGTAAAAGTCACCTTTTTTGTGTTATAGTATTGAATTCTTTGTTGGCAATTTCCCCTTACAAATTAAACATCAGTCTTGCTTTATATTAAGCCAGTGTAAATGTGGCCTTAATTTCAAGCACCAAAGAAATATACTTTCATTCAACACCATGGTTATGTCATGTTTTGTTAAAACTAATTATAATAGTGCCTAATGGGTACCAATTTAAATAGCATCTCCTTTCAATGATATCATTACTTTTATAGGAATAGCCTGTGTTACATTTGTGAGCACTATTGGTTCAGTGAAGAAACAAAGAAGGCTAGGGGTCTACGCAGGCTCCTCTTCTGGGTCAGAGTTTCAGTGGCATCAGAGATGGCTGCCAGTCTCCATGTACATTTTGGTCGTTTACCTTTATACATCATACCACACAGCTTTGGGTATTTGCATATATTTAAAGTAAGAAGAAATATGCATCACAGGAAAGCATAGTAGGGCTTCATGTATCAGAAATAACTCTATCTTTCACAATTATTTTTATGTCATTAGCTACTTTGAGAAAGAAGAGTTCCATATAAATGTATATATTGGAGTATACTTTTATATAACTTTATTACAGAGATATTTGTGAACTGCAGTGTCATCCCATAAGCACATCAATTCATCTCCATTCCCTCAAAGTGTTAAAAACAAAAAAGAATATCTAGACATTGCTTTTCATAATCAGTTTCAGAGAAAATACAATGATCAATGGCATTGTGGACCAGATAAAACTGTTGAGTTTTATGTTGGA